CCTCTTGAATTCTCCTACCCGAATCTGATTGTCACCAAAGCACAGAAAATCCCTAAAAGAGTTGGAAAAGTGAATATTTATGTAGTTGTACTAAAACTCACTGTTCGTCCGGGAAAACATTGTTGGCGTGGAACATAGCGAATTCACCATGTGATAAAATTACTAGAATCCCTTGAACATCCGTATCGAGTACCATTTGCCAAAAGTCTTTGCTGCTTTCCGGCCTTGGAAGTTGGGTTAGGATATCCTGATAATTGAGCTTCATTAGAAATTGTTTAAAGGATTTCCAAACAGTACTGATGGCTATGAGAGATACGCTCCGTTCCTTAAATGGTAAATTTCATCTATCGCAATTTGTAGGATTAGAAAGGTCGATAGAAATAGTTATTATAGTAAGATTTTCCACTTTTTGATTTAACTTGAATGAACAAAAAGCATCTCCGCAAGACCTACCTTTCTAGTAGCAGTGATGCCCACCCAGCTTGCATGTATGTAATTACCACTATGGGGTCGAACACGGGTCTGATCGATGCAAACGACATCTGAACAGAGAAATCAATTCTCTAGACCTTAACAAAAAAAAATTGAAATATTTTCAAGTAAATCAGAGTAGTTTAGATGTTGATGAACCGCTTAGTAGCAAAAAATGATTATGTCTGACCTTTTTTAGCGTGGTATCATAACTTTTGCTTACCCTCGAACCTATTCTTCTCCATATTTGCGTCAAATCCAAAACGTGTAGCCATAGGAGGAATATGACCACGGATTAAGCGGAATTCAGCCTGAAAAAGCATCTTATCGTAGTTCCGCTAATCAGTCTAACGCAGGTAGGAGCATTGATAAAAACTAGTTATTTCACACAATTGTGCTCAAACTCTGTTATTCTATTTTAGGGTGTGTTCTGAGTGTAGATTTCGTCGTTAATGCGTTGTTTTTGCAGAGTCTTGTTTCCAGGGGAAGGTATTATCCTCCGTAATCGATGTCAAACAAAACGTAGACGGTACACTAAAAATTTTCCTTGTCTCTATGTTATCCAGTGTATTGCAAGCAATATGGCTAATGTCTAGATAGTTTACTGGACATGAGATATGACTTTTCTCCTTTTTTATAGTTACTAGCTGGCATGAGCTTTGCTTGGTTGTATAGAATCCTTGAGGTATGATCCGAAACTCAGATTTTGTAATACTTAGTATATCGTACCCTCCGACTCTTGCATGGCTGTATCTTGGATGTATGTAACTTAGTATTACTGAGCAGCACTCAAAAGTACAAAAAGTTAAACAATTTGTTGACTTCAGAACATTTTCAGCTGGCTAATCTGGCAAGCGGGATTGCTTGTATGAAAATGAGCTCTTATAAATACTGATTCCAAGTAATTGTGA